TATATTATATTCTTATGTATTCTTGAGTATCGTTTCAATTATTACTACATACTACAAGAAGAGAACGAAGCAATTTAAGAACAATTCGAACTTATTCGAACAATAACGTTCTTTTCTTTTCAACAAAAAAGCTTTCGAAGTTCGAAATAACTTAACCTTTAATTTCAAGAGAAAGTCTTTCGAAATCGTCAAATTTCAACTTGTAGCTATCGTTTATCTTTAAATGCACTACCTGAACACAAAAGATATGGTCGCAAAATATCTATACATGGCTTTATTCTTACAGATGTTCGGTCAGAGATTAAACATAAGATTTGCATTGCTTGCAACTCTTATTTTTTCTTATTAGAAGATTATTAGAAGATTTTTTATTATCATGTTATATAATTAAAGATTAAAATTTATAAATCGCAAGTATTAAAGAAAAAAAAATAAAAGATTGAAGATCCAATAATGATCAATGAATTGAAACGGCATTAAGCGATATAATTAATTATCCACCGTGAGAAGTATAGTTTTACCGATGTCTTCCGGATTGATGATGTAACGAAACGATGTACCGTTTGTTACTTCCGGGCCAGTCGATGGCCAAACGGAGAGGTAAAGGCCGTTTACACGATTCCTAGTCTGCAGAGCACTTTGTTACCTGAGCTATCGGAAATACCTGTTGGCGGTCCCGTGAATGAGTGGGTGGATCATGTCTATATCGCACGACCTATCGTGATCACTGGCCGCGATCAGGATGCACAACATTTGCATAGATAACCCGTAAGCTCGAAAACGGCCGCCTATTCCTTCTCGCGATCGTGATTCGCCTGATTTCGCGTATGATCGATAGTGTGTTGTTCGACGTCGTCGTGAAAGGAACTGATCAACGTATATAAGCGTTTTCTTTTCTCGATTTTCTTGCTTCGTGGATTGGATGATTGCTTTATCGAAGTGGTTTACATAGATGAATAGAAAGCAATTCGTATTTTTTTTTATTCTTTTTCTAAATAACAATCGTATTTAGTGAAGTGAATAAGATTTCTGTAAGTATTAAATTGTATCTTTTCTAATAGCTATGTTTATTTTATTTTTTATTTATTTATTTTTTTTTTCTTTTTTTTTTCTTCATATATATATCGTAAGCTTGATCGAATAATATTGCTCAAAGAAAGCAAAAAATGTTAATTACTAGCCGCTACTAATTTCGATAAAAAGATATCAAAGCCTTCGATTGCCTCTATTTAAACCGAAGCATAGGAAATCGATGATTCGTTTAATAGATGTTCGAAATTATCACAGCAGGCTAGATTGAAACTCTTTAAAACGAGCCGAGCCTATCAATTGAGAATCGTTGGAATTTTTTGTAAAAGCATATCGTGCCGGAAATGATTACCAATTCTTTGCAAGAGAGAATCTTTGCAATTCGTGGAACGATCGTTCCGCTCGGCTAGTTGCCTTTAAAGAATCCGACTCGATCTGATTGATTAACTCATAAAACGGCGATTTAATAGCACAACGCGACAATTCAATGATTTGATTAATATTTCTTCCCACAAACACCTGTAGCCCGATCAAACGTTGTCCATCCGCGGTTAATCCATCCTATCATTTTAGATGTAATTACATCTACTCAATGAAGATTCCATTTCAAAGAATTATTACTTACTGGCGTAACATTCGATTGCCTTCACTGTAATTTCTACCTTTTTATATAATTCAAAGAAAATTTTTTATCGTTATTGTTTTTTTTTTTTTTTTNTTTTTTTTTTTTTTTTTTTTAATTCAATAACTATTCCGTTGCGTTTCGAATTCTAAAAAAGAATCGATCATATTAGAATTTCGTTGCACGCTATAAAAATAAATCAATCTTCTCAACTTGCTCAATTTCAATCAAAAATTCAATTTCTGTGATGTAACGAGGTCATAAAATTGATCAAATTGACAATACGTATCAATGTTCCTATGCAAACTTCCCAAACGTATGAACTTCGATAAATATCGATAAGTATTGATAATATTATTGATAGCGTGCAAGCCCCTTTAGAATTGTCTGGATAAGTGATATGGCAAAAATTTGGAGAGATAAGAATTGGAAAATACATCAAGAATCGGTCATTATCGAATCTATTTTAATCAATTGAAACATATTATAGATTACTATTCTCATATATCATGCGATTCTCATATATCAATCGTTTTTTTAATCTTGGATCTTTCCCTATATTTTTGTTCGACGATCTTTCAACAATTGACCAATTGGCGCATCGCAACAAGGATCGAAGATACAGTAGGTGGCAAAAATACGGTAGCACAGGAAGACGATGTCGATCTTCTATTTTTTTGAAACTATATTTTTCACGTTCATTTTTGACTCGTATATCCAAGAACCGGAGTCTATCCTCTGTGTTATCGCGTCATTACCGAGAGAAGCACGTCTCGCACCTCCTCGCAATTTAATTGCGCGCTCGTTGCTCGCTAATTGCGCAATTCGTCCAACATTTAAACACGCGTTACCCATTTTCCTTTGGGAGCGTAAATTTTTAGGTCATGATTCCATCGATCCGAAAGTTGAAAGTGCATCACGCTTGACCTACACTTCCTCTCTTATTTACTTTATCCTGAAAGATAGATCTTGCCCGATTCGAATTTATTGGACCACGAAAACCTTCGAATGAAAAAAAGAAAAAAAAAAAAAAACTGTCGAATTAACGATGCACATATTAGATAGGCATACGTTTGTTGTTTCGTTTAGAACTAGGTATTATAAGTTATCGAGCATAGTAAATTAGTAGGGACTTCAAGGATGCAACAAATACGTGCAAGGCCATGAGGGTAAATGTTATAGGTTTAAAGGTCGGGCGAAATCTGGCTATAAGTTCTACGTGTATTTTAAAATAAAAAAAGTTTAGATAAATATATGTCTTACGATCTATCTTTAAAGAAATAATGGTATAATAAATAAATTCAAGGATATAAATATCTATATACATACATATATGCGTAAGGCTAAAGTGTTTTATAAATGTTGTACGAAATCTCGGTATAAGTTCTATATTTTAAAGCAAGAAGAAATTTATCTTTAAAGAAATAGTATGACTTGATTTCATGGATATACATGATCTGCATGCATTTTATATCTCGTATTCGAAAAAGGGTGCGAGGTTAATCGATGTTATGATCATTCGTGGCAGCGGTTGAATTAAAAAAAATCGCGTTACGTGTTGATCATTTTAAACTTTCATCGTTTATTTTATCACTTCATAATTATGAAAATGGCAGGTTTCAATGACTAATCAATACGTGGAAGTAAAGTTTTAATATTCGCTCGAGCGAATATTCTTTATGCAGTGAAGAATTCTTTGTGCAAATGAAGAATTCCACGTGTCATGCGGCTTATGTAAAGTTTCTCATAATAAATCGCCGCTCGTTAACGATTTTGATGTGTGTACGGTTGCGTGAACAGGCGAAGAAAAGGCAAAAAGAAAGTCGTACGCGTTTCAACGAACGAAACCACTTCCTAATACGCGCCTCCTGTGAATAATACGTATGCCATTCGAGTGTTGCCGCGTGCACGTCGGAAATCAAAAACCAGTCCAATCGATATGTCTCTCTTCTCTTTGCTTCAAATCATGAGGGAAGTTACCACTGCGGGTTAAGAGTAACCGCAGTTGGCTAACCATATATATATATACATATATATATATATATATGGCTCTCTATGATGATCAATGTGTTTTTTTTTTTTGATGACGAAACATGCGCTTATTGTGCAAGATAACAAGATAAGGTATATAATAAGGTAATAAAAGTATGGTAACAAGGTAATAAAATTTGCATGAAAATTAAATATGTATATTCCATTTCGTAATATAAAAATTTTTGTTTGAACGAAAATGTCAAAGGAACTTCGATAATTTTCTTGCTTAAGTTTAAATGATAATTAATCGTTGTAATATCAAAAAAAAAAAAGAAAAAAAAGAAAGATCTGTGGGATATTTAATTGCTCGTTCTCAGCTCGATTACCGTGCGATAATATATTTTGCTATAGAGCGATGATGATTAACAAAAGGAAGTCTACGTTTACCGTTTAAGAAATTGCTATCTTCAGAAACCACTATGTTTCACGACTTGCTTCGCGAAAACGTAGACGGAACTTCCGCAAATTACCTGTAAAATATTATTGTGGATCGCGCGAACACTCGCCCGATAAACCGTGACCATTAACGGGTATGTTAGTAGGCTCTATGCAAATGATTATGGAACAGGAAGTAACGGGTCGACGAACCAAGATCCCTAACATTTTAGCGGAACTTGTTATACCGTTTGCGTAATGGAAATCGATCGACGCGTTCCCCGCGTGGTGAATCGCGTGCTGTCTCGCGAGAATTTTGAAGAGAAAGTTGGATTTTAATTATCTGTCGAAAATGGAGACTAACGACATCCATTAATCGGGGATTTCTCGTATCGTTAATAATTCATTTAATTGAATATATCCAACCAGTTAATACGTGCTTGAACAAGCGTGAATAATGTTTTTCTTTCCTTCTTCTTTTCAAGAGATAAATTTACCTTTGGGAATTATTGAATGGCGAATCGATCGGATGAGATTTATTCGCGACGAACTTTTTCCAAACGAAGAAGACGCTTCTCTCTTTCTCTCATACATGTACAATTTTCTTTCTTCTCTCTAATTTTCACTGGTGCATTTACGTTATAATTAGTCGAATTAAGTCGATCGTACGATCATTGACGAAACGTCTGGCCCGTCATTCAGAACTCATTAACCTCGTATTAACGCTCCAAGCTTTCCATTCGATCTACCGTTTAAAGCTCACGGAAGCTTATCCACCTCTCCTATTGGCTGGCATTTGCACACGGATCGACCCACATAGATCGCCTCGAGATTACGCCTCTATTGGGCCTAGATTGTTGTAGAGCGATTAAGGTAAAAAAAAAAAAAANAAAAAAAAAAAAAAAAAAAAAAGAAAAAGAAAGAAAAAAGAAAAAATCTCTTCAAGTAACTAAATACACTTATATATACATGTATTTGTACAATACAACGGCATGATTACATATACATTCTCGAAGGAATATCGTAAAACGCGAATATTCTCTCTGATCTTCATGGTATCTTCATCGGTCCTCGTATCGCTTGTATTCTTCTCGAACGACATTTCGAAGCGTCGTAAGAAAAAAAAAAAAAAAAAGGATTCAGCCTCTCAAGACCTCTCAATTAAGTGTTCCTTCTATCGGTGATGGAAAGTTTGTGAATCGATCGATTCGCATCGATCAGCAGGATGTCGTTGTGGAGGTAGCTGATCAGGGCCGTGCAAACCCGATCTGCCCGTTTCGTGACAAAGTAGTACAAGGGCGCCCAACTTTTCACGCCGATATACATCGAGCAGATCGTCTCCCGATCAGTCTCGCTGATCTGCCTTGCGTACTTGATGAACGTGCAGAACTGCGATTTCGTCGCCGGGGCGTAAACGGATCTGAGACGTGGCCCTATGTCGCCCAACAGCCGATAGAACTTCCGGCCGCGGAATCTGCTCCCTAGTATATTGATCGTGTGCAAATTACGGCACCTCTCCAGTATGCGGATCAGGTAGCCCGAGCGTAGATACAATTTCGACGTGGAACCTGTGGGAGAAAGTTTCCTCTGCTCCATGATAAATCCCCGATACTCACGTATAATTCTTCCGCTGTTTAAATACGTCGTGTATTTTTCTTTCTTTCTTTCTTTCTTTTTTTTTTTTTTTCTGTTAATTCTCTCTTAAGTAAAATGTTCGTTCCGTTTGTACGTACGTACATACGTACGTACGTACGTACGTCAGAACGTATGTAGATGTATGCAAAATTGTACACGTTGTGTTTCGCGCCCCACTTCGTTAGCCATTAAAATAGCATGCAAACACCGGTGAACGGTATCCTCGGTGTTAAATGTTGTTGCTTAGAAATTTATCGTCGCGGAATCGATTAAAGCACGAAGCGGCGTGGCGGTCTATGGAATGTTAAAAGAGAAACTGATTGTGAAAAACATGGATTGCATTCCCTACTTCCCTACCGCGTGAGAGGAATTCGTACGTATCTTAGTTAATAACCGAGTGAATCAATTACTCGAATCGTCGGAGAAGCTTAACGCGCTTCGAAGCGGAAGAGAAATATAAAGCGTGCGATTTATTTGAACGGTATATATAAATACATCGTCCGAGCTCATCTTTTTTTTTCTCCCGCACTGCAGGCGAATGCAATGAAACGTGTTTGGAATACTAATTACGTCAAAGCCGCGGTAAACACGGTTGCCAGGTCAAACAGCACACTATCTATCTCAACGTGAATCATACGCGAACGCCCTGCAAATCGATCGAAATTTTCTACCCCCTTGTGACTGCGTGATAGTCATCGTCCGACCAAGGAGAAGATAAAGGGGCAACGAAATGGACGGCAAAGGGAGGGGGAGAGGAGATGTCTAAAAGCTTACTTTGCAGTGCGGAACGCGGCAAAAGAAGGCTGGAATGCACCATTAGGAAATAGTAACTACAGAGGCGCGTTCTCTTTTTTTGCTTGACACGTAGCCAAACTATTTTCTCTTTCTCCGTTATTCCATTTTTCGACCGTATTTTTTCCGATTTTGATAATGACGAACTCGGTATATTTGGATATATATGGGAAAGACACGGAAGAAGAAAACGAAAGCAAGATGAGAAAAAAAAAAGAAAAAGAAAAGGAAACGGGATAAAAAGATTTCAGCCGGGCAGAGTTTTTTGAACCCAAGCCAAAGGTCCTCCGCACTCTTAGCTTTGGACTCAATACCGGTCCGCATGAGGTCGAGAGACAAGGAAAAACTTAATTAAAAGAAAGAAAAAAAAGAAGCTGACGATGAGATAGAGAGAATATAAAACCTGTGCAATTAGAAACGTGGAGTTCCTCTAATTTTTTGTTCGTCAGCGAGATCTGCCGCAAGATCTCGTCGCAATCCGCTCTGACACTTATACTGAACTTCTTCAGCAGCGGCATCCTCTTCAGCTCCTTAATCACCTCAGCTGTATCTTGTTCGTTGTTCGTCACCTGAGAATAAGGATACAAATTTGAATAAGATGGTTTTAAAAATTTTTAAGATGTAACTTTTCCTCTTCTTTCAAAAGCTGTGCACTTAAATCGGTTGACGACTTTAATCGATTGATATATACCTCGTAAGTTCGCCATAAAAATGGATCATATGCGAGCCGATTGAAAAACAGGGACACGTGACTGATGGCGTAAAGGTCCTTGTAGGAGAGATAGGAGAAAATTTCGAAGATGATCTCCACCGGTAAGGACACGATTCTTGGGATCGGAAACGATATCGGAACCACGGTCTGTGAGTCGCACTTGTTACCAATCCTGGTACGCTTCCTAATGGGCTCTCGAGTAATTGCAAGCTCGTCCATTCTCGTTGCGTTTCCATTTCTGGCATTGGTACGCGCGCGTGCTCTCACATTGTCTCTCGATAGGCTGTCGTGAATAATTTCTCCGGGCACGATGATCAATAGTTATCGTTTATTGCTAATTTTTTTTCTTTTGCGAAGGTTACCGCATTAAGACGCCGTATGAAAAAGACTAGAAATTTTGACATCTGTCAGATACGTCCTGTCGCTTTTGTTTTGTTCCCAACAAATTATATTTGTGGTTATCGAATGCGGCTCGTTGCAAATTTCGTATTTTCTTTTTTATCGTTCTCCCACTTGCTGTGCAATGGATAGATCATTGGAGATGAATTTAAATTTTCTAATCATTTTTGTATGTATCTGTATCAGATGTAGACGATCTTTGTCGAATTGTGAACGAACTTGAAAAAGGAATAAAAATTCCGTCCTCGTTGTTATGCGTACCACGCCGATCACGAAAATCATGATAGTGACTCATGCAGCGACCATGCCTCTGTCACCTGCTTTTCATTCCAGTTAATGGCAAGGGATACCGTAATAAAGCGATAAATTCCAATTTTTTTTTGGTAAGAAACCACAAGTATACGTGCGTGCTTTTAATGACCACATGTCGTGCATATATAATACACGAAACATATGTCTGAGAATTTTGTCTTTGATGATAAAGTTCTATTTAAAGATCGGTTTTAATTACTTTTTTTTCTTGCGATGAATTCTGTCGAATTGTTAGGGACTTTTAAAAAATATATATAATATATATAATAAAATTAATAGAAAAAGTCTGTTTTTTTTTTCTTCTCATTGGATGTTACATTTTTTATTCGATACCATTATAACCGGTTTTGAAACGAGTTCAACGTCTCGCAAACTCGAGATCATTCAAGATCCGAATAGCATAATAAAATGATTTTGAACATTATCTTGTATCGTTATACTTCGATAAAAAGAAGAGACGGGAGTTATTCAAAGAAACATCTCTAGGCAATCTTTAAATAATGAACGAATTCATTTATAAAACGATGAACGCATTCGAAGAAAGATCGATCGAATTGATCGGGGTGGCATTCGAACATTTCACAGATAGAACGTCAACGCTATTCAAAGCGTAGGATGATTCTTCCGACACGTTATTTTCGAGATGTAATTACGATATATTATGTCGACATCGCATAACTTGACAAATAGTTGCAATATCGAATAGACTCGAATCGTTTCGTCTTTAATTTTTTTTCATAGTGTACCTTGATCTGATTACCTACATAAAGTAAGCAAGTCTGGCAAGAGTCAAGGTACAGACTACATTGCGGTTATATTTGTTGCCCATTGACATTCCAGTGGTAGAAGAGCAAAGTGCATGGTAACGCAGCAATCTTGAAAATCGATTGTCTGACTATAAGCACTAAACTTTCAAATGAATATAATAAGTGTAATTCTTTATTTAAAAAATAATCTTCCGTATCATCGCGTTAGAATTAACGCAAATTTCATATGACAAATTTATACATTTGATAATATTTGTGAAATAAGATGAATAAATTAGTATATATATACTAACCGTCCTTCGACTCTCTAGTTTATCCATTCTGTTGGTTTGTTGAATGTCAGTTAACGTGGCCGTAAAAGTTTGTCTCGTTGGCTTTCACGCTCGTTCCCACACAATCTATTGACGTTTCTGTCAATGCGCGCGATAACACGTTTGTGAATCTCACGAAACGAAACAATGAGAAACTATGTGAATACTCTCTCTTTAACATGTTATTTTTTTACGCGCCACTAACGAGACTGACATTATTTATCTTGATATGGATAAAAATGTTTTTTATTTCAATTTTATTTCGAATTTATGATTAAAAGTAAAATAAGTTCTTACTTGAAAATTACAGATATTATGTTGTCTCAAATGAAAACCAATTCTACTAGAAAGCTGGAAGGAAAACGACCGAAAGAACTAATGTCGTCTTCCAGTCTTTCCGGTATGTCACAATTATCGAATAGCAGTGAAGAGACTTTGGAACCTCTTGTGCATAAGCCGCACAAATTAGAAACGACAGAAAGGTAAGTCAGCTAAAAATTTAAATATTTTATTAAAAAAATATAATATTCTTTTTTTATCAAAATTTGACATATATTTTAATTAAACTTTTAATTGGAAATTATTTCGTATTTTTTATAAAATATATAAAAAATAAAATTCATTAACATAATTTAAAAAAAATTAGATTTAACTTTAATGATTTTAAATATACTTAAAATAGATTATCCGATTTCTATTTTACCGACATCTGATAAATTCGAGGGCGCTATATTCTAAGAGAGAAATTTTTGCAGGAATAATACAAGAATAATATAGATTGTATCTGTCACTTAAATTTTTTATCAATTTTATTAATAATATTTTTTATATAATAATATTTTTAATATTTTAATATTTATATTAATAATATCTAATTCTAATTAAATTAAAATACTTATATTAATAATTAAATTATACATGCAATAGTTTGTAAAATATATTTTATAGCACAACGAAAGACGCAAGTCCACAAAACAACGAATGGCTATTAAGTGGACCAAGTGGGAACAAGTCTATTTTACGTTTCAAGTAAGTTTAATGTCTTATTTCTTTATGATTTACATATAATATGCAAAATACAATGCAATAATTATATTTCTTGGGAAGAAGTATAATTTTTATATAATCTTTGATATTTTTTTTTACTGTTTTCTTAGATGTTCTGCATTAGCAACTCCTCCGAAAGAACCTCCCGCGAAAATATTGCACATGACCTATAAAATTTTTCAAACGGACACTAAACTTATTAATCTTTTGCTGCAATCACACGGTTTAACAGAGGTAAGTTATAAAAAAACAATTCAAATTTATTTTCAAAAAATTATTTATTTTCAGTACATATGTACTAAGAAAATCAAGTCATTCGTTTATAACAGAAATTAATTTTTTGTTTTTTTCTTTCTTTTTTTTTTTTATTTTTTTATTTTTTTTTATTTTTTTTTATTTTTTTTTATTTTTAAGTACTCATTAATATACAAGTTGTGAGAATAGCGGTACAACTTATATTTAAGACAAATATATTTTTTATATATTTTATCATGACACTTGTTTACTGGCATAATTTTCTTTAATTAAATTTTTAATTCAATAATTATATTTTTGTGATATAAAAAATCGTATTATATAATTTCGTATTATATATTTTGATTTATTTGTTAATGATATTACTGTAATGTAAGTTATTATATATAATATGAAATAGTTTTCTACATATAGTTTTTTTTATTTAATATTTAATATGTTATTATTGAATATTATTTTAGTACTTATCATAATGTAACGAAGTATATAATTATACAAGAAAATCGAATCAGAATTCAGTAAATAAAACAAAAATATATTTTTAAAAAAATTCTAAGATGACCAATTACTGTTACGAGTTGCATTTAAATTTACATTCATTTAATTATATAATAAACATTTCTTTCCATGTATTCAAATATAAATTGTCTTATATTTATTAAAATTATTTTTAATACTGACAATTTTACAGTCTATAAAAGTATAACAGATTTAAACAGCAGCCAATTGTGTCATGGACAAAATTTTTAAAAAATTAATTTTATCGTAAATTTTTTAAAAATCTGTTACTGAATACAATTACCACAAAACCAATGAGCTCCTGGACATAAATCCACATCTAAATTTGCACGAGTAAGTGTTGTTCTTAACATCCTTACACCTTCACAATCTAAACCCCAATTTGCCAAATTTCCAATCTTTTTCAGTCTTTTACAATTTTTAAACATGTTAAGGACAGTAGTTGCAGATACTTTACTGGCCTCATATATATAAAAACACGTTAGATTTTGTACTAAACTATTTTCACATTTATCAGACTTTCTTGGATTTCTATGTTTATTTGATACACTCAATAATTTTTCCAAATGTTCATTAGTGAGATCGAAACAACTATGAACATGTAATGCTGTTAATTCTGGTGCTAATGAAAGAAGTTTTGTAATAGCAACAGCACTCACTATACGTCCTAATTGAATTTTTTTCAAATATTTTAATGGAGGAGGATCAACACCTTCTGTCCAAATTATGTTTGATCCATCATTAGTAAATGTTCTAAGATTAGAACAACTACTAAGAACTTCTTTCAAATCAACTTGAATAGGATTTTCATTTTGAGTTATTCTGAGATTAAGTTCACGTAAATTGTGACCATTAGTGCGAAGATAATCGTAAAAACCATCCAACCATTCTCTTTGAGGTGGTATACTGTGCACACTCAGGGAAGTAACATAGGGAAATAGTCTCAAAGCTTCAGGAGGATGATGAGGCTCAGAAATGTGTAATTTTTCTACTCTTGGACAAGCCTGTGCCAAAAGTTCCAAACGAACTGGAGTGGTTCTGCTACTTCTTGCTTGAGTTAGACTAAATGGAGTTTTAAATCCAATAAGTCCTTTATTCATTATTTCCACTACTCTTCCCATGTGACTATATTCTGCTAAAGATTCCAATCGTGGAACATGTACCAAAGCTAAAAGTACTCCTGCACTGGTAACACCAGTATTAGCAACATTAAGTACTCTAAGTGTGTCACAGAGAAAGTTTCTGCTTTCATAGTATTCTAATAATACCCCTTGTTTTTCCTTCTTTTCTGATTTAGAATTTTTCATTTTCAATTTTGAAAGTAGTGTTTTTAAACGAGACCAACTAGTAGGTTCTTGCATAGCAGTATGAGGTACTTTATCTCGAAGTTCTACTTGTAACAGTAATTGTTTCAATCCTATGTCTGTTACTTGTCTTGAACAAGCTACATCCAAATGCACAAGTTTTGGACAGGCTTTTCCCACTACTTGAAGCACTGCATCACTGGCTATATTACGCAGGGTTAAACTCATTAAATTTTTCATATTTAAAAGTGCACATCTTAATAATTTGCAATCTAATCTTAATAAAGCAGAACGAGCCAATTCTAAAGATTCAAGTCCAATTCCTTCTGATGCAAGCAGTTTTAATAATGATGTTTGATGACTACATCCATAATAACAACAGAGATTCACTTTTAATTGCTTTATATCATGCCCAAGAAGAAGGGCTAAAAGATATAAAGGAGCTGGGCCAGAAATTAAAGTTGATCCATCAGATGCAGGTCCATATAACATTTTTGAAGTTTCTTCAATAACTTGAGATCTTAAACGTGCTGGCAAAGCATTAATATAATATGGTCTTATAGTCTGCTTTGCATATGCCAATACTTGTGCAGCGGATGATTCTTGTGAAAGCACCTGCAGCCTTCGGCACGTCCCGTCGAGTTGTTGACACACACGTCCCAAACTAAGCCCCTCTAGGGAATTAGGCTGACGGTGGCCAGGCATCTTCTCTTGTTCATTCACTATAATATTATATACATTATTTAATATAATATATTAATATGAAAATTATTTCAATATTTATATTTTAAATAAGAACAATTGTATATTAATTATATATACGATATTAAAATTTAACTTCTAGTTATTGGAATTAGTGGAATTTGCAAACAAAGAATTTAATATATATTAATTAGTATATGAAATTTATTATAACTTTTTTCTTGTATATCATGAAATATTTTAATCATAAAAACTAAATATTCAAATAGATTTAATTATAAAGTTATAAAAAATTATTTTTTTTAGATACTAGATATTAATTGCATGTGTAATAGGTAAAATAAGATCAATGTTATAATTTTGAGGTTAACTATGTTTGAATCACAGTATAATAATTGTTTTTTTATTTTACAAGTTCCTACTTTAATGTGAATATCACAATCATATTATTAGGACAAAATCATTT